ATGAAATTAGTTTTTAATTTACTTGACATTTTGCATTTGTTCCAAGTTAAAAATAATAAGTGATAATAATAGCTAAAATTTCCTGAATACTTACATCTAGTGTTCTACGTACTATATTAGAGCCAAGCACTTTACATGCAATGCCTTACTTAAACCTTACAGCCCTATGAGATTATGTGCTGTTATTATTCTCACTTGACAAATAATAAAACAGGCCCAAAGATGTTATATAATCTGAACTAACCTGGCCATATAGTGAGTTAGATTTGGATCATGAATTTGAACTCAGAGCTACCTTAAAACTCATGTTAACAATGACTATTAAGTTTGGGCTCCTTAACTTCCTAAAAAACTGGCAGATTTTAACCAAACCTGACATACTACCAAAGGATAACAGGACACAGACATAGATTTGTACTTTATTAGCTATATTTCTGATAAAACCCACCACCCTGAAAAAGAATGCCAGCTAATAAGTTTTCTAAAAGATCTTATTCAATACATACTCACATGTAATTTAAAAAATGGATTTCAATGAAATTTAGCTTGCCCAGATATTTGGGGCAGGCTTTTGTTTGTTTGGGGGAAGCCCTCTCATAAATCTTATAAAAGAATATAAGTTCACTGTTTGGATATGCCTTTATTCCCACCCCTGATCATAAGCTTTTTTTTTTTTTTTTAAAGATTATTTATGTATTTATTTATTTGACAGAGAGATAGCCAGAGCACAAACACAAGCAGGGGGAGTGGGAGAGGGAGAAGCAGGCTTCCCGCCGAGCAGGGAGCCCGATGTGGGGCTCGATCCCAGGTCCCTGGGATCGTGACCTGAGCCGAAGGCAGACGCTTAACGACTGAGCCACCCAGGCGCCCCCTGATCATAAGCTTCTTAAGGCAACTATTCATTTGCACATCTTCCACTAACGCTCTGAGAGTAAGGAGTCTCATTAGTAAGCATGATGCTGTGGAATGAATAAAATCTATCATTCAAAAAACTCAAGCTTACAGTGAAATTTTTATGTTTTGTAAGAATGGATTACAGAAAATATTTGACTTAAATTTTTCTGCTTCTGAAAATTACAAAAGTCTGTTTCATTGCTGTTCTTGACATAGGATTCTGATTATGACCCAAAGACTCTTTTTGTCCCAGTATGTTTTCTGAAGAAAAACCTATCTGAGGAACAACATTTCTATAAAAAAAGAGTTCCAACAGCCTCAGTTTACAGTTCTAAATCCAAAAAGGTTACACAACTTTTCTACGGCTCAGGAACTTGTTGATGACAAAGTCTAGAAGACAGAACTGAGAAGTGAACCTAGGTCTGATTCCCTACAGGTCTAGTTTCACCTATCGCCCTGAATGTTAGGACAGCTCTTATATTAAGACTCCTGTCTCCTTTTAGGTAGTAAAGTCTGTTGACTCAAAACTCATTTCTGAAATCAAAGTTCAAGTTAATCTGCATTAGAGTAAGAAAGCTAATTTTCTAAATGTTCATGTAAAGAGCTCATGACTAAGACAATAAGCATCACAGCTCTGAAACAGGCAAATGATTCATATCTAGAACTATGTGGCTATAATGACTTCCTTGCACATGAATCAGAAAGGCTACTACCCATACCACTGACTTGACCAGAGACCTCTAGAGAGCTGGCATCTTATGTCAGACATTATTTTATACTTCTACTTGTGCAACACAACATCTGAACTATCTAGATGATTCGAATGTGTCCAAACTCAACTGATAGACAAAACAGACTAACATGAATCAGACTTCTATTCAACCACTTCGACTGTCGCTAGGATTGTTTGTGACTGGTCACTTAAATTATTTCAAGTTGTTTCACTGGGCACTGAGTATCTTTACAAGGTCATTTCCATAACTTTAGGCTCTAAGTTAAGATTCTAACCTCATTAATTTGGGTAGAATTTATTCTTAAACTAATTTCCTTTCCAAGTGGCCTTTCTCCCAGGATCTAAAGGAGTATAAGGACATAGTTTCCTACTCTGCCAGGACACAAAGACAACCCATTTCAAACTAATTAATGGAATATACTCACCAAAAGAATCAGTGCTATCTCTTCCTTTAAACATAGGGAATAACTGCTAATGGGTACAGAGTTTTTCTTGGGGTGATGAAAATGTTCTGGAATTAGATAGTAGCAATCAATGCAGAACTTTGTGAATATATTAAAAACCACTGATGCACACTCTAAAAGGGTAAATTTTATTGTATGTGAATGATATCTCAATAAAGCTGTTATTTATTAAAGAAACAAAAGAAATTTGAAAACAAAACAAAAAAAAAACTGCTTTAACATGTAGCCTAACAGTGAGCTACTGCCAAAGGATTTCTATCAGTAACCCTTCCTGAAATTTAATATACTGTAACTAGGCAATAAAAGTTTGGTATCTCAAGATTTTCATTCCTTATCTTAATAAAGTATCATTTCCTTTTTACTTGTACTCTACATCAGGCAATAAGCTCACCTCAAATTCTCTCATATCCAAAACAAATGCTATGTATTAAGTAGTGAGTGGAAAAAAGATATAACTTGGATAAATAAGTATTATTTGGAGTTTTAGGCCCATATGCTTCACCAATAGAATTTTAAATTAAGTTAGGCCCAAATGCTTCACCAAGGTAGAATTTTAAATTAAACATTTCTAAAAATGCAATTAGAAATTAAACATCTCTGGGGCGCCTGGGTGGCTCAGTCGTTAAGCGTCTGCCTTCGGCTCAGGTCATGATCCCAGGGTCCTGGGATAGAGCCCCGCGTTGGGCTCCCTGCTCCGCGGGAAGCCTGCTTCTCCCTCTCCCACTCCCCCTGCTTGTGTTCCCTCTCTCGCTGTGTCTCTCTGTCAAATAAATAAATAAAATCTAAAAAAAAAAAAAAGAAATTAAACATCTCTAATAAAACTTTTATGTAGCTTATTTCCTATAGTCTAGCTTTTCTGCTTATAGGCATCATCAGAAACTTTTCAAGCAACATTTGCAAAAAACCAATCATTTTAGACCCCTATTGTAATATCACTATGTCTGTGTGTGATACACATACTAAAAAAGACATTTTAGACAAGGTTTTGTTGTAGGATAGCGAATTAGAAGTGATAGGAAAAAAAACTGATATTAAAATATTCAGGGGCGCCTGAGTGGCTCAGTCGGTTAAGCGTCTGCCTTGCCCTCAGGTCATGATCCCAGGAGCCCCACATCAGGTTCCCTGTTCAGTGGAGAGCCTGCTTCTTCCTCTCCCCCTCCCCCCCCCCCCCGCGCCGCTTGTGCTCTCTCAAATAAATAAAATCTTTAAAAATAAATAAAATATTCAAAAGCCCCTACTGTGGCGACAGATAATACGTATGAACCAATCATTTAGCCATCTGAAAGTGACAGCTTACAAGAGGCTTACAAAACTTTACAGAGAACCGTAAAGACTGGATTTTAAATATTATTCATTGTAAAGAGTTTTTCATCAATTTCTTATTGAACACTTACTGTATTTCAGGCTAGGTGTTGGAGACAGATGCAAGACAGACCTGTCCTCAAGGAAGTCCCATTTTGATTCCTTGCTTTTGTCAGGCACAGCACTAAATATGTTCACTTACAGCATATGACCTCCTAGGTTTAACCCACAGGGAAATCCGAGATAAACATTACCAATGACTGTAAGACTGTAAGGCTGTTAAAACTGAAAAGTTAAACTTGTAAATAAAGAAAGCCATTGTACATTTAGACCAATCTCCTAACTCTACTTCCCAATACAACACTGTAAGTTCCAGATGGTACTAAAACAAAAACAAAACAGTAAAATGACCCAGAGTATAACTATACCTTTTTTTAACACACACCACTTACATAATTGTCTCATTTAAAGGGACATCTACTTTATTTCCGTCAAAGCATCCTCTTCGATTACAAGATATTGCTCTTTACCTTCAAACTCTCCATCTGAGTACAGTACTGAACAGTTGCTGAATGAATGAATGAAATAAACAGATGTTCTAATTGCCAAAAAGATACCTGCCGGATGCTTATCTCAAAACACAATGGACTGACAGACCAAAATTCTATTGAAAAGACTACTGAATTTCAGAGGTAAAAACAGTAACCACTGAACATTGATACCATGCAGTCAACATGCTATTAAGTTCACAGTAAACATCTGATGCGAACTCTCTGAAATTAAAAAATGAAAAGTGTTCATCACAATATTCTAAAATGGACTTGGTTCCACCACCTAAGGATTGGGAACACAAGTGCAAGACAAAGAGAGGAGAGGGTGGGGTAAAAAAGTCAAAAGGTCATCACCGAGTGACCCTCAAGAGAAAAGCCCGCTGACCACTGAAGCTCGCTCACAGCTTGATGGACACCTTCCGCGCAAGTCGAGGGCCCGGGCTCCCCCTTGCCGCTCAGAGCCGAAGGCCACCCCAGCATTTTTCGGCGCCGCTCCCTGCGTCTGCCCAGAACCTTAGCACAAAGAAACCACCGAGAAACAAAACACGGACCCTGTGGGCGCCAGTCAGGCGTCGGGACCCGGCGACCGGAGGAGCGCTCTCGGCTCCCCATCGCCGGGAGAGGCAGCCAGGGCGCGGCGGGCCGCCCAGGCGCCTCCGTCCGGACCTTCGCCGAAGTGTTTCAGAACTTGCCACCCACCCCCCGCTCCATTTTCCCCTCCCGACGGGGACGCGGGACCCGCGCGAGGAGGGCGCGCGAGGACGGACGGGTGGAGCTGGGGCGGGCGGGCCGGGGGC